CTATATCCTCCTTACTATTTGCCACCCAACCAATTTTGGATCATTTGCGAACTTGCTGTCAACCCTCCTACCTTCAATTCTAAATCATTTATATCAACCACAAACAGCAAAGGCCCTAACACTGACCCCTGTGGGATCCCACTGGACAGACTTTCATTTGGAAAAACAGCCCTCAAATAGGGAGCATATTTTTAAGGTGAGTGGAGAAAGTTTTATAAAAGACATGAGGGGCAACTTTTTTATATAGAGTGTGTTTTGTGTGTGGAATGAATTGCCAGAGGAAGTAGTAGATGCAGGTACAGTTACAATATTTAAAAGATATTTGAATAAGTACATGAATAGGATAGGTTTGGACAGATATGGGCCAGACACAGGCAAGTAGGACTAGTTTAGCTTGGGAACATGGTCAATGCAGCCTAGTTGGACTGAAGGGTCTGTTTCTGTGCTGTATGGCTCTATGACTGAACCATCACTTATGCTTCCTGCCAATCAGCAATTGTGAATGCAATTTACCAAATTTCCTTGAATCCCATGTGCCTTTACCTTTGCTATAAGTCTCACGTGTGGGACTTTCAACAGCCTTCCTGAAGTCCAAGTAGGCTATATCAAAACCATTGCCTTCATCTACACACCAAGTGACCATTTTGAAAGATTCAAGTTGGTCAGACATGACTTCTTCTTTACAAAAGCATAGTGACTGTTCTTGATTAGCTCCTGCCTCTCCAAATGCTGATTCATTCAATCCCTCAGAATTGCTTTTGATCATATCCCCACAACCGAAGTTAGACTGATTGGCCTGTAGTTTCTTGGTCTGTTCCTTGCTCCCTTCTTTTATATTGGTAAGCCTCATCTATTTCTGATGGAACACTTTCTGGCTCACTTTGAACCCAAAACCAGATGAAGGAATGAGGAGTTTGGATCTTCCAAAGGATGTGTTGAATGGTGCTACCAGTGAACATTCCTCATCAAGTTTCACATTCTAGAATCTGTTTCTAGTATCAGATTTGCTGAAAACCTTTACCTCAGCCAATGCTAGTGTGATCTGTTCTAGTTTTAAAGAGGGTCAGTGATTCCCCTTTCTTATTTAAGATCTTTGGGATTAAGACAAATCCATCGGTTTATCTTTTGATTCTTGTGTTATCTTTCGCAACAATGGAATTTATCCAATCTGTGAGCTGTGGCTCATCCATCACTTTCTTCCCTTACATTTCTTGAAGCACTCTTTTAAGGTTTTCTTTTAACTCTATTGGTACTTTGAGCTGAATGCAAATCCCTGGTTTCTTCTCCAAATCAGTGGGGAGGTGATACTCAAAATGTTCATCCCGTGCAGCTGTCCAACAAAACACTAGATACATTTGGACTGGAAATTGCATTCTTCTAATCGATGAGTGCTTTACCCTCACCTCCTTCAAACCATGATTTACTGAAATCAGCTGTAGCACTTTGTCCTGCTTCCTAGTGTTGAACAGTTGCAATCTATTCCAGTGACCTAGAACATGCTGTTAACATTGTTTCCTTTTGTATATTTCTCTGATGTGGGTTGCTTATAACTTTCTCATTCTAGTTCCACAACAGTGCCTGGTTTCAAAGTATTTTATTTCCAGTTCTCAGCAAAGAACTTCTGGTATGGTCTTAGCCAGGATGATGTTACTCTCTTCCCCGATATAAATCTTTAGCTTTAGATTTATGGTTGTCGGTTGTGATCTTATCTTCCTAATCTGAACGGTTGTATGAACATATTTTCTCTGGGATCTTTTACATTTTATGCAGTTCCGTGGTCCTATGTCTATTCTATTCCCAAAATTCATTGTCATTTTCCCAGTGATGGAGCTTTCCACAAGTTCTGCATTTAATCCATATGCAAACTTTTCTGAAAGAAACGCAGAAATTACTGGTGAAACTCAGCAGGTCTGGCAGCATCTGTGGGGAGAAAGCAGACTTAACATTTCAGATCCAGTGACTCTTCATCAGAACTGATAGCGGTTGGAGAAAGTATTTATGTTCAAGACAAGTTTGGAATTATGAAGAGAGATGAGTGGATAGGTGGAGACAGATTTGAGAGAGATATGAAAGGGATAGGCAGATGTGGGGATAATAGACAGTAGGCCATAACAGAAAAGAAGCAGAATAAGTGATTAGGAGAGAATGGGTTGGCTGCACTGAAAGAAATCCATGTTGTTGACAGGACCAGGTGCAGGGGTGGGTAAAAAGCATAGAAGAGTGGAATCCGGCTCTAAAGTTACTGAATATGATCTTGAGACCTAGCGGTTGTAGAATCCCCAATTGGAAAATGAGATGCTGTTCTTCGACCTTGTGCTAAAGCTCACTGGAAAACTGCAGCAAGTCTGCGACTGAAATGTAGACGGGGGAACACAGTAGTGTATTGAAGTGGCAGGCAACTGAAAACTTGAGGTCAATTTTATGGACAAAATTTGGTTATTCAGCAAAGCGGTCACCCAGTCTGCGTTTCATCTCCCCAGTGTAGAGGAGACCATGCTGTGAACAGCAAGTACAAATAGGCTCGATTTGCTAACCACTTCCCCCACATCCCCTCGCCCTCATCTTCAGCATAAATACTGAAAATCTTCCTAGCTGGTATCAGTTCTGATGAAGTCACGAAGCTTGAAACATTAACACTGCTTTCTCCCCACAGATGCTGAGTTTCGCTAGCTACTCCTATTTTTATTTCAGATCTCCACTTTTTATGAAAGTGTTTCTTTATGTCTGTGAACTCATGATTATGCACAACTTTTGTACGTCTTCCTCAACTGTCTATTATGAATTATTTGCATTGTTGTTTCACTGTGACAATCCTGCTTCCTTTCTTTTGATTTAACTGAAGTCTAGATTTTTGGGTACCTGTTTCAGGCTTCATATGTTCTGGAAGTGCCTACAGCTTGTGATACTATGAGCTTGTCATAGTCATAGAGATGTAGACCCTGTGGTCGAACTCATCCATGTCGACAAGATGTCCTAGATAAATCTAGTCTCATATGCCAGCATTTGGCCCATATCCCTTTAAACCCCTCCTATTCATATACCCATCCAGATGCCTTTTAAATGTAATTGTTCCAGCCTCTACCATTTCCTCTGGCAGCTTATTCCATACACACATCACCCTCTGCGTGAAAAGATTGCCTCTTAGTTCCCTTTTAAATCTTGCCCCACTCACCTTAAACCTTATAGTTTTGGATTCCCTTACCCTGGGCAAAAGACCTTGACTATTCACCCTATCCATGCCCTTGATGATTTTACAAACTTCTAATTTCACCCCTCGGCCTCCGACGGTCTGGGGAAAATAGCCCCAGCCTATTCAGCCTCTTCGTATAGCTGTAGCCCTCCAACCCTGGCAACATCTTTATAAATCTTTTCTGAACCCTTTCAAGTTTAACATCCTTCCTATAGTAGGGTAACAGATATGCACACAGTACTCCAAAAGTGGCCTAACCAATGTCCTATACAGCTGCAATATGACTTCCCAACTCCTATACTCAATGCACTGATCAATAAAGGCAAGCATACCAAATGCCTTCTTCACTATCCTGTCTACCTGGGATTCTACTTTCAAGGAACTATGAACCTGCACTCCAAGGTCTATTGTGCAGCAACACTCCCCGGGACCTTACTGTTAAGTGTGTAAGTTCTGCCCTGATTTGTCTTTCCAAAATGCAGCACCTCATATTTATCTAAATTAAATTCCATCTGCCACTCCTTGGCCCAATGGCCCATCTGATGAAGATCACGTTTACTCTAAGGTAACCTTCTTCGCTGTCCAGTACACCTCTAATTTTGGTCATCTGCAAACTTACTACTAATCTACTTCCTATGTTCACATCCAAATCATTTATATAAATGACGAAAAGCAGTGGACCCAGCACCGATCCTTGTGGCAAACCACTGGTCATAGGTCTCCAGTCAGTAAAGCAATCCTCTACCTTCGAGCCAGTTCTGTATCCAAATGGCTAGTTCTCCTTGTATTCTGTACTTTCCTGTTGGAGCTGTTTGTACATCAGTGTGTACAGAGCCCCAAATGAACTGATTTGATTCTTTGAATTTATACTTATCAGTTTTAATTTCTGAATGAGATCAAGAAATTGTTATCAGGCTCACCTGATTCCTGCGTTAGACTTTGAAGTTCATATTGGTTAATCTGACGGTGTGACCTTGGCTGGAGATGTGCTAAATTTATCACAAATTTAATTTTTGTTTGCTGACATCCTTTCTTCTCTTTCACCTCTCCATTAAGTGATATAGCTGACTCTTTCCCTTTTAGTGGTAGCTTTTAGAAAGCTGCTGAATATCAATCTGCACTTCTGCTTAAACTTCTCAAATGCTTATACAGCTGCATTAGTTTCCCAATTCACCAATAGCTGGAGCTGTGCTTTTGTTTTTGTGGTGTCCATTCATTTTTTGCATTATTCTTCCAGATTTTTTTCTCTCTAGCATTAATTCTGTTGAATTTTTCTCAATCTAATTCAACATTTATTTTGTTTAGAGTGCTTGGCTCACCAAATTTCTCAGAACTCAATGTGTTTCAAACAGATACATTGTTTGGTTGGTACCCAGACCAGAGTGCACTAGTGAGTGATAGAGTATCTAACAAGATGGCAACTAATGTGTAATAGTTCATGTAATACCATCAGTAGCCCTGCCCCATCAAATTTTTCACCATAGTACACATTATTCTATAATGCAGTACACCAGGGGGCTGGAACCAACTTGACTTGGATGGTGCGATGATTTTCTAAAGAGAAAAAAACTGCAGAAACCCACTCTTTCGGAGGGTTTTATTGGCAAGGTTGCCAGGTGTTTTTTTTACAGGATTGCCTTAACCTTTCTGTCAGAAGTTACCTAGCTGTTTCAAATTGATGCAGGACAAGGAAAGTGAAAAATAAGTAAACCAATAATTTGAAATTAGAAATAAGCCTTTCCTTTTTATGTATGCACTGAACGTATTTTCATTGACTGATAAAGGTTTTTTTTAAATTCCACTTAAACAGGTTGATAAAATTGTACAGATTGCAGAAGACTTAAAGAACCTAGGGAATAACTTCTTTAAATCCCAAAACTGGACAATGGCAGACAAGAAGTATGCCAAGGCTTTAAGGTAGTTACAGTGGTTTAGCATTTAATTCTAAAATAGTAGATTGCTCCCTTTTTTAAAGTCTTTCATTTTTTCAGGTTTTAAATATTTATAGATTTTAAAAATGTCAAATTTTGAGATTTTTACATCTTTGTCTTTTTCTCTATGTGTACAAACTTTTTCTCTTGTGCTTGATTTGAGATTGGATTCATCTACTGTGATTCACTCTTCTCAATCCTTTTATTTTGCAATCTTTCATCCTGATTTAGAACCAGCATATATTTATTAATGGGATATTAGCATCTCATCTGGCAAGATCAGAATTTTTATGCCCATCACTGCCTATGAAAAAGTGTTGGTAAACTGCCTTCCTGAGCCACTGCTGTTCATGTGGTGAAGGTATGTCACAATGTTTATGAGTAGGGAGTTTCTACAGTTTTTTTTTCCTCTGTGGAAAATGATCCCACCATCAAAGTTAAACGGATCCTGCACATTTCATCCCACTTAACCTTGCATCACTTTTTCTATTGGTAGCATCCCACTCCATACCTAACTTTAATAACATGGGAAACAACCTAAATATAGATTTACTGTGTAAACAGTTCACAGAATCACAATTATTACTGTGCAGAAGGAGGCCATTCTGCCCACTGTTACAGGACTTTGACAAGTGATGATAGAATGGCAGTATATTTACTAAAAGGATAGTTCATGTCTCGGGGGTCAAATGGCAGGTGGCAGTGCTCATACGCTAGTTAAAATTGTCCTTCTAGGTCAGAAGTCTGCAATATTATGAGGGAGCACTAAGGACTCCAGACTTTGGAGGGCTCTGACTTAATTTGATTAAACCCAGTACTAACCCCCTAGGTAACTATACTTATGGACTCCTGACCATCCCTCTGACCTGATTATCCTCACCCAACTCCCCACTTCTCACCAATCCCTTCCCCACTACCCACCCTCACCCCCTGAGCAGTCTACCCTTCACTCACCTGCCACCCTGGCTTGTAGGAAGAATAAAAAGTAACCTTTTATCTGGTCTGGGATTACAACCTGTATCAGACGACTTGGGCTATTATGTTTCAAATCTATTATTTGAGTGACAAAATGTCTTCTTAGTTACAAAACTAGCTCATTCTTTGAACAAGAAAGTAAACTACTTAATAGATAGTATAGTTCCAGCATTTAAAAGGCAGTATTTTGTATGGATGCCAAATCTCTGTCTTCCTCCTCACTCCCCACCCCCCATCTCTCTCTCTCTTTCTTTCTCTCTACCCCCCCCTCATTCACACTCTCTCTGTCTCACCTTTGCACATTCTGCCTTTCACAAAGAAGAGTCGTGTTGGATTCGAAATATTTCTCTCTATTTGCAAATGTTGCGAGAACTCAGCCTTTGATTTTGTTTAGATTTCTAGCATCCAGAGTACTTTGCTTTTATATTATGTTGTTTCAAATGCTGACAGCTCCAGAGGTGTTTGAGAAAATTGAATTTGCCAGTGTCTTTGTTTGGTTTTGGTAATACTGCCATCTTCCTTCTGGAACTCATCTTGAATTTTTGCTTAGATCCTGCAAAGCTAAGGTTTTAAATTTTTTAAATATTCCCTTTTAAGATATGTAGCCACTCTAAGAGATGAAATTGATAATGAAGAATCAATGGAGAAGGACTCGATTAAAAATCTGGAATCTATTTTATTAAGCTGTAATCTGAACATTGCTGCGTGCAAGCTGAAACTTTCTGACTGGAATGCTGCCATTGAAAGCTGTGATGAGGTTGGTATCCAATAGTTAATTAAAATTGCAAATTCTAAAAATGATAAGTGCATTATCTTAATATAATGGGCTGACGTCATTAGTAAAGAATTGGATATTTGACAGTGATTGAGACAAAGATGGAATAGTCAACATAAGTAGGATTGTTTTCAGGAAAAACAATTTTTTTTTTAATACCTACGATGGAAAGTACATTAATCAAATGTAGTTGGAAGAATTTTGTGTTTTACAAGACACAACATATCAGCAAATTTACACTTTAGATCTGTGAAACACTATTATTTTTCTCAATAGTGTCAGAACTTTTAATGAAAAAATTGATTTATTTTTATTTCATTTGTTTTGTATTTTTGTAACAGTTTAGGACTTATAACCACATGGTTCAGTTTTTTTTGTTTTAAATTATATTATGATTCTTGTTTGAAGTTGGATTTGGCCATTTGCCAGTAATAGAGCTTTTTTGACTTAACATGCAAAACTGTTTCAAATAAAAAATCCTGAAGTACTGGAAACATACAGAATCTGTGGAAAGCTTTCATCAAAGCTACATAGATTTGAAATGAACAACATTCAATTTTGCTGATAAGGTTGAAAACACACAGTAACAAGTATGAATATTTTTATTTTTGTAAAAAAATTTGGAGTTTGAATTGCTGAAATTAAAATAACTTGAGATAATAGGAAGGAAAATAATAAATTAAGACATGACAAGGTTGAGACAGTGGTGGTTCTGTTCTTTATACAGGTGCAATGATTGTCTGACGAAAGGTTATCGACCTGATATGTTACCTGTTTCTCTCTGCAGATACTGACTGACTTTAGTTTTTCAAACATAAAGAAAAATTATATTTTCTTGCCCTTTATTTACCACTATTGCAAAGCAAAATATTTAGAAAGTATTGTTGGTATTAGATGTCAGATCTAACATAACTTTTATTCCTTTAACAGGCTCTTGAAATTAATCAGTCAAACACAAAGGCACTTTACAGAAGGGCTCAGGCTTGGCAAGCAAAGAAGGATTATGATCAGGCTCTGGTACTGTCGTGTCATAATTTCTTGTGATTAGGTTTACTGTTCTTTTAACATTCTCTAACATCAAATTAACAAGAGGGTGCTGAGGAACTGAAATCCAGGAAAAAGTTGGAAAGGTGGAACCTACTTGTATAACATATTATATAATTTAACATTTTGTTTTAAACAGGATGATCTTAAGAAAGCTTGGGAAATTACACCTGAAGATAAAGGTAACTTGTAAATTCATGATAAGACTGTTTCCACTTCACCAAGAATAGTTTAAAAAAATAACTCGGCAACCTACTTACTCACAAGCATTAAACTTGCCTCCCTTTTATATTCTTGCAGCTATAAGCAATGAAATACTCCGAGTGAAGCAAAAGAGAAAAGAACTTAAAGAGAAAGAAAAGGCCACTTATGCAAAAATGTTTGCTTGATAAAATGGTTTTGGTTCATAATTCTAAATTATTCATTGGGCTTCTGTTTTGTCTTAATCTTCTGAGGACAGTGTTGGGTTGTTTGTTTGGATGTGTAGTCTGGTTTTACAGACAAGTGAGCGCTGACTAACAAAGATTGGAGACTAACATTGTAGACAAAAGCTGAGATTCAGCTGTGCTGCTGACACCTTATTTTCAAATGTCTGTTGCAGTGGAACTGTTAAAGATATTGGTTATTAAAATAAATATCAAGAACAAAGGTCTGAACTGTTTGTCCCTGCAATAGAAATAAATATTTCTATTTATGAATTTCTTCACCTAATGAATAAATAGTATAAGTAATGTACATAAAAGCAGTTCTGTATTTGTGATTCATTGTTCGTGTGTGAAGAGCTAATTAGTCTTTTTAAAAAAACTTGCTCATGTGTGGTTATTTATGATTCTAAGGTCCTGATGTGGTGGTCTGTAAAGATTTGCAATCTGTGTATCTTTTAAGAAAGGTTGCTGTAGTTATGTAGTTCATATACAGAGGACAGTACTTAAGAATTATTATATCTATCATATAAATCTTTTTCATGCCAACAAATCATTTGATACAATTTAGTTGTAAATTGTATGAAAGGCAGTTACAGATGAATAGCAATCTTCAACATTCTGAAGAGGACAAAAGGGATAATTACCCATTTTATTGAACACTGACTTTACATTCTGTTCTTGCAGCTTTTCATGTTTTGTCAGCTTTATTTTCTTTGAAGGTGATACTATATTGGATGTTCATCCAGTTGTTGCTTTTTAACTCCTGTAATTTTTCATTTTTCCCTTTTTCTGCAAAAACACAAAATAAATAGCCCATAAACATGTTACAATAATCAGAGGAACACTGAGTGAGATATTATATCTCTTTCTTATTTCAGCAAAGAAAATATTTGGTCTGCACATTAGTTTGGTGAAAAGTAAAACTTTATTTCCCAGGTATTATAATTGACACACAATTGATTCACAACTGCACTTCTTAACAATGACAGGTCTTGTCAATATCTATCTGGTAAGTTGGAATTCAGAGGATTTTTCTTTAAGTCTATTTCTGAAGTTGAATTAAGCCTAAATTGGGTGCAGTTTCTTAAATGCAAATTGAACTTCAGTTGAAGCTTATGTTTTCTTTGCATGCTAATCTAATGTATATTGCTTACAAGAAGTTAAGCTGAAAAATACTTAATGCTGACTACCATTAATGCGCATTGATCAAACTTCTAAATGATAATACAAATCAATATCCATAAACAAATGAATCTCATCTTTTCAATAAAAGACTTGCTTAGTTTAGAATTTATTTGGTATTTTACAGTCTTTAAAGGTAATGTTTTGCTAAATTTGTACGTTATTTCTACAACTCCCTCAAAAGTTAACCATCATCACTATTTTGTCCAAGAGAAGCTCTCCACAGTCCAAATCAAATACTAAGTGATGATTTAGCCTTGTTTTGTCAGTGAGCCAAACAGAAATGTCTAAAACCCAGGCTCAGTGGTGGGGGGAGAAAGAGTCACCATTCAGTGGATTTGGGGAGCAAAATAAATTGCCAACTCATTATGAAAATATTTTTATTTTACAGACACTGTTTATCAATTATTCTTCGGCCTTCACTCCCTCCACAACTGCTGCACCGTGACAGATTAAGTAACATTTATAAGATCCTAAGCAGCTACTTGCCAAGACAAAGATCATATTCCAAAACCCCAACCTATTTCACCCAGAAAAGATCAGCAGTTGAATCAGAACACTGCTTTTTGACTGGGAACTATACCACTGATCCTACACTACTATTGCATCAAAAAAAATCCTGAAACTCCCTCCCTGACAGCATTGTGTGTGTACCTACATTAAATGTAGTTTAGAAAGACAACTTTTTGAGGGTAACTAGAGATCGGCAGTAGATGATGGCCGTGACAACAATGCCTACATTCCATTCCATGAACAAATCTTTGAAAAGTTTGAGGGTGTAGATGCACTTTATGGAACAATCCCACTCATTAGTTGCCAGCGTCTCATCCCATCTAGTTCAAAGGAGTATACCATAGACTCGTAAACGTTTGCAGCACAGAAGAAAGCTATTCAGCCCACAATATCTGCACTGATCATCAAAGATCTGACTACACTAGTCCTATTTTGCAGCTCTTGACTCGGAGCCTTGGAAGCCAAAGCACACAAGTGAATATCTAAATACTGACTAAATATTTGAAGAGTTTCTGACTGAAACTCTGTGGAACAAATTTCTCCTTAACTCCCCTCTTAACCTTCTACCTTTACCTTAAATCTATGCTCCCTGATTATTGACTGCTACTAATGGGAAAAGTGACTTCCTATCCGCCCTGTCTATTGCCATCACCTACAGCTCAATCCGGTCCCCTCACAACTTTCACTGCTGCAGGGAAAACACCAGTTTTTTATCCAATCTTTCCTCATAGCTCAGACCATCCTGCCCAGGCAGCATCCTGATAAATCTCTGCACTATTTTCTCGTGTAATTACAAATGTCCTATAATTTGGTGAGCATAACTGCACAAGTACTCCAGTTGGGGCCTAACCAGTGCTTTATACAGTTCCAGTATAACCTCTTTGGTCTTGTATATTATGCCTTGGTTAATAAAGGCAAGTATCCCAAAATGTCTTCTCAGTCACCTATTTAGCTGCCTTGCTACAGTTAGGGATCTCTGGATATGTAAGGTCCCTCTTGATTTTCAGTCATTTCCAGGGTCCTACCCCTTTGCGATTTAATTCCTTGCTTTGTTAGCTCTCCTGAAGTGTGTACTTTTCCAGGTTGCATTCCATTTGTCATTGCTGTTCCCATGTGACAAATCTGTTGATATCCTCCTGCAGTTTATGACTATCCACCTCACTATTTACCATCCTACCAATTTTTGTGTAATCTGCAAACTTTTTGATTATACCCTGTGCATTTACATACAAATCCTTAATGTACACCACAAACAGCAAGGTGCCAGCACCAAGCACTGCAGAAACAGACTTTCCGTCACAAAAACCTCCCTTTAGCATCAACCTCTGCTTCTTGTCCCTCAACTAATTTTGCATTCCATGAGTTCTTGCTTTCTTGACCAGTCTGCCATCAGGGTCCTTATCAAAAGCCTTGCTAAAGCATGTAGACCATATCAACTACATTACTCTTCATCCACGTTCTTAGTTACCTTCTCAAAAATTCAATGAAATTTGCCAAACATGACCTTTCCTAACTAATCTATGCTAACAACCCCTGATTAAACTGTGTTTCTGGCCCATGATTTGCCTGTCCTAGGAAACTGACTTAAGCCTTGACAGTGTGATTCATGAACTAATTTTTACCCTGTATTTGTTGAAGCTGAAATATGTTCTGACCACTGTGTGATATAGAAATTACATCTTAGAATCAGGCCATTTCTCCTTTCCATCTGTATATTCTGGTTCTTCACTATGGGTTACCAATGCTTCTATGTTTGTAAACATTAATTTCTAGATTTTTCAAATGATTAACAATTTCCTATTTACTGATTTTCTCTGTGGGTGAAGAATTCTATTCTCTAATAAGTCACATGAAAGGTCTGCTCAGGTTCTCTTATTAAGGAAAGAAACACAATCTAGAGAACAAATTTGAGATCTCTTTGGTCTGCAAGGTTCATCTTATAATGTTCAATTTTAAAGGAAAGCTGAGGTGCTTGGGGGCATTGGGAGGGTTCTACAGGGATTGCTGCTGGAACCACAACTATTTACAATATATGTTAATAATTTTGATGAAGGACACAAAATGATGACACGAAAATTGGTGGGAAGGCAAAATGAGAGGGATACATGGAGAGATAGATACTGACAAGTAAATGGGTGAAGGGGCTGCGCTCCAAAAGCATGTGATTTTAAGTAAACCTGTTGGACTATAGCCTGGTGTCATGTGACTAAGTAGGGAAGTCTTACTGCAAGTCTTACTCAACTGCAGTAGTAACTTGTTACAAGTTACAGCTTGTAAGACCCCATCTGGAGTATTGTTAGCAGTTTTGGTCCCGTTATTTAAGGAAAGATATCATTTCATTGGATACAGTTCAGAGAAGGTTCACTAGGATGATCCCTGATATGGAGGGATTATGAGCAAGGATTAAACAGGCTGAGAATCTACTCACTTATGACAGGGTAAGTGCTGAGAGAGTGTTTCTCCTCACGGGAGAGTCTTATGACCAGAGGGTATAATCTCAAAATAAAGAGGGGCAATTTAAGACTGAGATGAGGTGGAATTTCTTCTCTGAGAGGTGAGTTTTTTCCCCATAGCTCTCTGTGGCAAGGATTTTGAGTCCTTGCGTATATTTAAGGTTGAGATAGATCAATTTTTGATCAGTAGGGAAATCAAGGATTGCAGTGAAAGATTAGGAAAGTGATGTGTGAAGTAGCTGATCATCCATGATCCTATTGAATGGCAGAATGGGTTCGAGAGGCCGTGCAGTCTGTTCCTGTTGCTTTTTCTTATGGTGTAATGGTCATTTGCAAGTTCGTTGAACTTGTTGGAGTGAAGAGGCAGCTGGAGTTGGCATCTGGTTGAAGAAAAGCCTTTAAGGGGCTGGTGATAGTAGAAAAATGTGGAAATGTGTATGAGCAGTAATGGAAATTTGCAAAGTAGTTGGGATGCAAGGAGATGGAAGAAGTTGTAGAAGGGGGAAAGGCCATAAGGAGTATGAGGGAAGAGAGGAAGGCTACAAGGGATTCGAGGGGGAGGCTGTAAAAGTGAAGGATGAGGGAATAAAACTGCAAGGGTTGGGAGAGGGAGACTGAAAAGGAGAGAGAATAGTATTAAGCCTGTCAACAAATAAATACTCATTTGGAGGCACAGAAATCAATGCAGCATTAATTTCTTGCAAATTACTGTGAAATCTCGAGCTTAAGACTATATATGTTCAGGAACTATTGTGTGGGAAGAAAGTTTATTGTGTGCTTCTATTTTAATGAACACCATGTCAGATGTTCAATTTATTTCTGAAATTAGGATCTCAGATACAGTACGAAAGGCAGTTACTGCCTGGTTAAAACCTTCCAGCTTTATGACTGATGTAAAGACTTTAACTGTAACCCCACCAATCTGTGGAAGTTGTGTAGTTTGACGGCTTTTTGTGTAATATGTCAGTTGTTCTGGGGTTGGGGGGCTGTAATAAATGCTTGCTAACTTATGCCTTTTGTGCCAGTTTAGATACTATGGTTCCAACTGAGTTCTGAGGAAGGGTCACCGGGCCTG